CAAAAGGTTCAAACCAAGACCGAAAAACCTTCGTCGATTATTGAAAATTACGCATATTACAATCAACGCTTTATGAGGTAAAGGGGGCTCAACTACTCCCGGAGGCATCATAAATCACTACTTCAAGTCTCTTTCCCCCCCTTCTCAAACAGCACCTCCCTCGAATAAACTCTTCAACCCCAAGACTCAATACGGCATGGAAAGCCTTTGTCGATTACGGGAAATCACCTCGTCCGAATTTGCAGGCTCCTTTTAATTCTACATGCACGAGGCAAAGGGGGTTCGACTCCCCCCGAAGGCATACGGTTTCTTGTATCGATTTTTTTGAGTCTTTGACACCGCGCTTACAAAAACTCGCTCGCGTCCTTCAAAAAGTTCAAATCAAGACCGAAAAGCCTTCGAACCACTCATCTCAGTTGTTCTTCTCAACCGCCGCTTCGTGACCTAAAGTACTGAGGCATGTCACTGCTTTCAAATTCAAACGACGACAGAAAAGCCTTCGTTGATCATTGGAATCCACTCATCCCAGTTGGTTTTCTCAACTAACGCCTCTTGAGGTGAAGGGGGTTCGACTACTGCTGGAGGCATCATAAATCACTGCTTCAAGCCTCTTTCCCCCGTTCCCTCAGCAGCTCGCTCCCGCGAATAAACCCATCAAACCTGAAATTGGACAAGACCAACAAGCCTTCGTCGATTTCCGGAAATCGCCTCGTCCGAATTTGCAATCTCCATTCAATTCTACATCCACGAGGGAAAGGGGGTTCGACTCCCCCCGAAGGCATTCAATCTCGGTTTCTTTTTCTTTTTCTTTTCCTTTTTCTTTTTCTTTTTCTTTTTTATTTATTATTGTTTTAGGGCGGGAGGGGGGTGTCCTTGTTTTCTTGACGCTGACGCTGACGTTCCCGTCGACGCTGACCGTGAAGTTGAAGTTGAACGCGTCGATGTCGGTCGCAAACGGAATCAAGTTGAATCCATTACATGCATAATAATTTTAAGGAGCGTGGTTGGAATCAGGTAGGTGTAGCGAGGAATTAAGGAAGGATTGTGGAGGATCGAGAGCAATGCGTATACGTGGGCGAGTATGCATATGTACATAGGTGCGACTGGGTGCGACGGATGGGGAGGGGGAGGAGGATGGGGAGGAAGAGGAGGAGGAGGAGGATGGGGAGGATGGGGTGGGGTGCATGTGTGGTGAATGCGATGCTATGCTATGCGATGCGATGCTGGGGATGCGTGGTTGGATGTGTATGTGTGCGTGTGCGGGCAGGGAAGAGCGAAGAGGCGATATGCCCGCAAGTAAGTATAAGTACGGACCTAGAGCTACTAGTGGAACAAGCAAAAGAGACCCGATGACCTGAGACCCAAGGGAGATGCATACGAAGTACGGGATCGCAAGCAATGAGAGAGATGGACGTCGAGACTAGCCAACGATGTCCGCGAACGAGAGCCGCGGCGCACGCGCGTGCCTCTCCCTCTCTTGCTCCCTCTCCTTTTCCATGTCCTCCTTCGACTCCTTCGGCTCCACCTTGAACATAGGCTGCGGCGCCGCCCCGCACGCCTTCCGCCTTTTGAGCGGCGGCCCCAGACGACTTTCCTGTTGGGTATTCCCAGAAGCAGAAGGATAGCAGAGGGGGTAGGGCTCGACGGGCGGGGGGTTGCACATGAGGAACACGGGGAGGCCGGTGGGCGGCGGGAGCGGGGGCGGCGCCCGCGCCGTGGTGGATTTGTTGGAGTTGTTCGAGGTGTGGGAGTGGGAGGAATCCGAGTCGGAGCTGTGCGCGGGAGAAACAAAAAACGCAAATGAATACCACCTCGAGACAAAATAGGAGGGAACAAGACTCACCCCGCCTCCCCCCGCTCCCGCTCCTTCATCTTCCGCTTCAGCCCCACCCACCGCTTCCTTTCCTCATCCCGCTCCGCGCGCATGCGCAGCGCGCAATCCCGCGCCGCGCGCGCGAAGGCGAGGAGGCTCGCGTTCGCGGCGGCGTGCGTCTCGGCGCGGCGGCGCCAGGTCGCGCAGGCGAGGCGCAGGGCGGGGAGCTCGGCGTCCGCTGTGGCGGCAAAGGAGGCGGAGGAGGAGGTGAGGGTAGAGGCGGAGGAGGAGGCGGAGGCGAGCTCGGCGGGCGTGGGGAGGGGGGGCATGGTTGTTAGGTGCGAGAGGGAGGAGGAGGGGGCGGCGGTAGGGGACGGCATTGTTGAGAGGGTGGGGGAGAGTGAGCGTTTGGGGGGGCGTGCGCTGGAGGTGGAGGCCGACGCCGACGTCGATGCGGAGGTGGACGCGAGTGTGGAGGTGGACGCAGATGCAGGCGTCGTCGCGGGCGTCCGGTCGTCGAAGAACACGGGGCGGATGGGCGGGAGGATGTGCGGCCGCAGGTACGGCGGGACGAGCGCCGGGTCGAGCGTCACTGCAGTAATGCACATGAGATATACTTATAGGTAAGACAAATGAACGCACAGATGCTATACGGAGCCCGACACGTCGGACAAACATGCTCCGGCCCCAACGACTTGAGCGATGACTCCACCGTGCGGCGGACGCATTCGCGGCAAAATAAATGGCCTGTGCGGATGAATATTGTTTTGCACTTGTCGAGGAGCGCGGGTACTCACCACAAGGTAAAGACACAGGCGAGACAAAGCGCTCGTAGCAGATACTGCAGGTTGACATGCTGAAGTTGGAATAGGGGTACGCCGACGGGATTATATAGACTTGGGAGGCTCAGCAGCAGTCAGCGGGGCATGCGTTGGGCATCGGAAAATGACAGCGGCGGGAAAAGGAGAGGCCGGTTATAACCCGGGCCCATGACCATTTCCGAATCCCAGCGGCGGGATTGAGAATAGTCATGACAGAGTGCGGAAGGCACGGGCGCCGATTTGGCGCCGATCTGCAAGCCGTGACTCAGCCCGACACGGTCAGCCACAAAGTGTCATCACACCCTGTCATCAGCGCGATGACAGTCCGTCGGCTGACCCGCGGAACGCTTAGAAAACGGTCGCCCGTCGTCCGTAAGCAGCAATTGCGGAAAATGAACGTGGAAATACGGGAAACGGACAAGGTAAGATTCGGGGTTGAACGGAAGGATCAACCCTTCGGCCGACGTCCGGCTTGTTCGGGCACCGGCAAACTCGGAATCCGTGTTGCTTTTCAACCTCCGTGAGCTCGGGCCCGTCTGGAAAGGGCCCGAAAAAACAGTCCCAGGATTGGGATCTACATGTATTTTTATTTTGTATGTAAAGGTTGTCGAATCCCGGTGGTTGAATGCGATCTGACAACCCCATCCAACCAAACCCGTTCAACCGTCACAACGGCCGCTCGTTTCCGTTTCATCCATGGCATTATGCAGACTCGGTCATGCTACCTGACCTTACCATGCCATCCCAAAAAAAGTCTGCTAACATCGGCGGGCTTCGAACTTACAAAGTTGCATAATTTAAGCTTCTCGCACACATGAAGGCTTCTCCGCATACATGGATGTGCCGGACCCCGCGCCAAAATCGCGAAATCGCCTTTACGCGGATTCGAATCTCCGTGACCTAATTGGTACTGGTCGACGCACCTATACTTAAACCGGCTGAGACGATATCCGATCACACGTAAATCTGCGCACGATCGACAGTAGCTAGTCTTGAAAAGAAAAAACACCACCTCTATCAATTATTGTACATCACCCTCCTAGACACAATCAAATTCAACAAGTCAGGTTGCTCAAAAAAGGTGAAGAGATTCGGCCATGCCTTTGCGAGGATTCGAACCCCCGTACCCCCGGACCATGTATGTTCACCTAACAGGCATTACTGAAGCGGGGTGATTTTCGGTCATCAACAAAGGCTTTGCAACCCTGTGTGGTCCTCAAGAGAAGAAAAGATCACCTCTGCATATCGACCTACCAGACCCACTTGCTACCAATCAAATCCAACAAGTTCGGTTGTTGGGTTCCGGAAAGGAAGAAAGAAAGAAAAATGGGATCAGACTTGTCGTGGATGCCTTTGGGAGGATTCGAACCTCCTTACCCCTGGGTCATGTATTTTTGTTGAACAGCCATTATTAAGGCAGGGTGATTTCCAGTAATCAACGAAGGCTTTTCAGACCCTGTGTGGTCCTCAAGAGAAGAAAAGATCACCTCTGCATATCGACCTACCAGACCCACTTGCTACCAATCAAATCGAAGAAGTTGGGTTGTTGGGTTCGGAAAGAAAGAAAAATGGGATCAGACTTGTCGTGGATGCCTTTGGGAGGATTCGAACCTCCTTACCCCCGGGTAATGTACTTTTGTCGAACAGCCATTACTGAGACGGGGTGATTTCCAGTAATCAACGAAGGCTTTTCAGACCCTGTGCGGTCCTCAGCTAAGTGAGCAGGAATTACAAAAGGCTAAAGGAATTATGGTGAACCTTCGAGATTCTAGCGCCTTTGACAAGATTCAATCTTCATGTGTGTTCTCCCTATGTATGCAGCTGAAGTGATTGTAATAATTACAGCTGTTCTCGAATCTAATGAGATCGATCAAAATTTTTTTAGCTGTTCCCAAAAAGGAAATTTTGGAAGACCAGTACTCTACCATCGAGTTCAGGGTAGCTTGAGCCATGTAGTGATATCCCGACAGCTATATACTACCTCCACTGCCAAAATCACACTGTGTGACGAGAAGAAAACGCGACGCGAGGAAGCTGACAGGCCACCCGTTACCATCACTGATTGGATCACTCCGTGCCTCTCCCTCTTTCGCATCGCCAAATTTAATGTTTCCCAAGGGTCGAAAACCCCTACATATGTCTTACGGTACCAGGGCTGGTCCGTAGGCTGCTGGATTGGCTTGGGGAGGAAAAATTTCCTTTTTGGGAACGGCTAAAAAAAATTCGATCGATCTCATTAGATTCGAGAACAGCTGTAATGAGGGCTTGAATCCTTTCCTCCGCAATGCATAGATGTGCTGGTACAACCTACATATATAATGGAAGGTTTTCCCGCCAGGCCAAAAAATGGATGCATCCCAAATCAGTGCCTTCGGGAGGATTCGAACCTCCGTGACCTCAATTGGCACATTTTCCAAGTGCAATAGAGCTGAGGTGATATCCAATAATCAACAAAGGCTTTCTGCTACCCCGGTTTCCCGATGGATTTGCACAACAATCAACAAAGGCATCCTGTGAGTAGCAGTCTGAAAAGCAGAAAAATCATCTCTATCAATTATTGTAGCATTGCACGCCACTTGCTACTAATCAAATTCAACAAGTCAAGTTGTTGGGTTCCGGAAAGGAAGAAAGAAAGAAAAATGGGATCAGACTTGTCGTGGATGCCTTTGGGAGGATTTGAACCTCCTTACCCCTGGGTCATGTATTTTTGTTGAACAGCCATTATTAAGGCAGGGTGATTTCCAGTAATCAACAAAGGCTTTGCAACCCTGTGTGGTCCTCAGCTAAGTGAGCAGAAATTACAAATGGCCAAAAATTCGTGGTGAACCATCTAGACTCTAGTGTGTTTGACAAGATTCAATCTTCATGTGTATCCTCATTATGCAGCTGAAGTGATTGTAATAATTAATGAGGGCTTGAATCCTTTCCTCCGCAATGCATAGATGTGCTGGTACAACCTACATATAATGAAAGGTTATCCTGCTGCCAGGCCAAAACATGAAGACATCTTATATCAGCGCCTTTGGGAGGATTCGAACCTCTGTGACCGCAATTGGTACAGGTTCACGCGTGTATGATCTAGCTGAGGTGATATCCTATAATCAACAAAGGCTTCCAGCTACCCCGGTTGCACATGAATGTGTGAGCAACATTCAAAAGAGGAGGCATAAGTAGCTAGTCTTGAAAGAAGAAAGAATTGCCACTATGATGTGAAAATTGAGGAGGACTTGGTTGAAATAGTACATCAACCTACTAGACCCACTTGTTACCAATCAAATCCAACAAGTTAGGAGGATGTAGGGTTCAAGGTTCAAAAAAAAAGAAATGCACGAATACACTATCATGCCTTGGGGAGGATTCGAACCCCCATACGGCCGGGGATGTATTTTCACCAAATTGTCTCCACTGAGACGGGGTAATTTCCAGTCATCGACAAAGGCTTTCCCAACCTTGTATGGTCTTCAGCCAAGTGAGTAGAATACACAAGGCCAAAAAAGTTGTGGTTTCTGACTGTAATGCCTTTGATATTTGTGTCACTCTCCCTTTGTACGCAGCTGAAGCGATTCTCAATAATCAATGAAGGCTTAGCACACATACATGTGCCGGTTAACGGGCCATGCAAAAATCATGAAGCCTCAAACAAATTCCTTTGGGAGGATTCAAACCTCCGTGACCTCAATTGGTACATTTTCCGAGACAATCATAATGAGGTGATGTCCGATAATCAACAAAGGCGCATTGTTAATCCAGGCAATAAGGGAGCTCGCTTCCGGCTCAAGTCCAGACGGCAAAAACGTCGCGACTCACACTATTGTGTTTTATGTGTTTACGCTCGGCCTCAATGTGATATGTACTTGTGAGTTGAATTCAGTTGGAAAATCTGACCTCTTCATGATAATGTTGCAGTCTTAATCTCCCTTCGCATTTACATGACGAAGAGGCGAGCTGCTGGAGTGATCGTTTCCTCGCTTGATTTGAGCACAACCATGTCAATCGTTGTTGAGTCAGGTGTGTCCTGGTTGAAGCCTCGGATTGCCAGCTGCTGATTTCTTCTGCATTCTGCAGCTGCGATATATTCTGCATGTCTTATTGCCAGGATGGTGCCCACTGTCCTGGCCAATAACGTCCAATACATTATACTCAGCATGGTGAGTTATCTGTCTAGAGACCTCGCAAATGCGGTTCTGAATTCCCTCAGATGCCTGGTGTCGTTGTATGTGCTTAGAATTCTTGAGGAAAAAACTTACTAATACGTCTCCGCTGACAGGGCATAGCTGTGCCTATTGGACCACCCACTCATGTTGATCAGAACTTACTTTCCTGTCCACAGTTCTCTCTCATCATTGTCCGGATTAGCTCCCAGTGTGCGCCTAACGACACCGTCAGGCCTGTCAGTGACCTGCATTTTGCCGTCAGCAACTCGCGACCGGGGACCCACTTTGCCACCTCGGACGAAATGCGATCGCGGACTGATCATGGGGACGAATTGGAAATCCCGGTTCATCTAAATAACGGCTCGCGAAGTAATATTACAAGCTCGCATTCCGAAGGCGAGAGGCCACGGCAAGACGAGGAGAAGTAACAGAGATGTCGGCGGAGGATGGGATTATCACTTATCAGTTCGTTCGCATTCCTTACGGCTTCATGCGTACATTCTGCGAAACCTTGTATTTATGTAAAGAGATGCAGTGCGATCTATCACAAATCTATCATCTTATATGTAGAAGTACTTGGATTTTACGCAGCAGCCATCCACACCACCGGACAGTGGTTGATTTACATTGCGTCAATGGTCATTGGATGGCTCCGCCCGCCAAAATACCCATGGATGGCTTTCGGAGCCACACTAGCACCTAATTTTGGCAGGTGCGAGCCATCGGGTTGCGCACTCCAATGGCTCCTGCGCGAATTGTCTCATCAACAGTGATGCACAGGATAAGTAGCCAGTCTTGGGAAGAAAATATAATTTTAGAAAAGCCTCTAAACGTATCGCTCCAAAAAAAAAAGAAAAGAGAGAAGCCTTTTTCATAATATTAACTACAGAATACATATTAATTGGACCTCCTTAGGTATTATAGTCTGGTACGAGTTAAAATCCCCTCAAGGAACGGGAGACGGGTGCACGGTTGTTCCCGAATTCATAAGAGTGCTCGCTCCCCGCAGCGTGTGTAATAACAATGTTCCAGCTCGGGATTCGATGTTTAAGAACCTCGACGGAACATCGCACGGCACCCGCTGCGACGGGCACGGCAAACAGCCCTATCAATGGGTATTACCGTATTAATTATACCCTGGTTCAAGTTGACGGTAGTAAATATAATTCCAAGGCAAGCTATGCAGGCTAGCCTGAGGGACAAAAAAGAATAAAATTCAAGTACGAACTTCCCTCATGCCTTTGGGAGGATTCGAACCTCCTACACCCAGGTACTCAACAAAACCTCTTAACTGAGATGAGAGCATCCGGGAATTGGAAAGTCTGCCATCAAAAGTCTGCCATCAGGGCGATCGGCGGATACATGACGTATGAGCATTGTAGCGGAGATTGAATCAAAGGCCTGTCAAGCAACACAGGCAAACAAATCAAACACGCTCCTGTCGCTGAAACGCGACCCGCCACAGTCCCGCCACTGCAAGGGGATCCAGGATCCCTTGCAGCTTCACCCAAGGGCTATCACCCGTCTTCTTGCCCTCCTTAAGGATGATATAATCAAGTTCAGCCAATACTGTATTAATAAATGTCTTGACCACACTCACAACGAGCTGGTTGCCGCACAGCGGGCATCGATTGCCGTTGCCATTGGTGAGCGGAGCAGGCGCGCAGGCGTGGAATGTTGTCCCTGTTTGGCATCGACCCTTATTACGCTGTGCCCCTGTACATTCAAAGTCCGACAAACGTCTGGCCGAGTGGGGCCGGACATTTTGGCAGACTTTTGATGGCGGACTTTCCAACTCCCAGATTTATTGACTGAGATGGGGTGATTTCCATTAATCAACAAAGGCTTTTCATACACTGATTTCTGGAGAATGAATGAGCGAGAACTGAAGCACTGCTGCACAAGGGATTGTCATTTGCAATTGGACATGAAAGTAGAGACATGGCGTCTGAGAGTCCCGATAAAAAACGGGTTGTGTTCTTATCAAGAGATAACTTCGAGGCGGAGTCAAGGCCGGGCGAAGGGGGAAAAAAGAGCTCATCAGATAAACGTTCGGGAGGATTCGAACCCCCTGTACCCCACCTATCCTCAAGCTTGTTGAATGCGCTGGGAAGCGACGAAGGCTTGCATCGCATATCACACCTGTGTCAAATTCTGTTAGGTGCTAATGAGGAGGCATACTTGTGGTGGTCGGCAACGCTGTGCCAAATTCAAACTCCGACATTACAAGTGCAGAATCAGTGGTCGGCCGCTGGTCTGAGTCCTACAGCCACTTTCACAGGAACTTTGTAAGGACTTAAATGATGGCATGGCCCAACCTTTCAAAATGATTAAAGCCGAATTTCAGTTTAGGGACTGTATATACGTCAAACCGTGCTTTGCCGGTATAAATGCCTCTATATCTGCCTTACCTGCATGAATATGAAAAATCTGCTATAATCATTTTGTTCTCACTTATATAAGGTATGTACTGTGTACCAAGTTTGTGGCTAAGACCTGCCACTGAGACCAGGAGTTCTAGGTGTACCGACGGAGGGTGGGTATGCTAAATCTCAGATTCACTCTGGTTTTGGCCTCAAGTTCGGACCCAAACAATGGTTGATGAATATATATGACATTTGGTTGTGAATAGAAGGGTTCTCTAGACTATCGAAGTGTACTGTGGATGGTAGAAATAGGGGCACCTTCCAAATGCGGCAATACCGGTTCTGTGATCACTGATTTCCGGCAGTGTTGCCGACCACCAATACTTGCTTGCCCGTCAAGTCCAGCGTGAAGAACCATCGACGGGGTCTCGGATGAGGCAGGTTGAAGGCGTCGGGAAGAAGGCAGCAAGCCGCGTCCGTGTATTCATTATTCATCTCCATCTACACATTAGTCCGTATTCAAGTCAAGCACTGAAACCGATGAGTAAGTTAGTCAATTACCCAACGTATTCTCCGCACATGACCGTGGCCAGCAGACGAACGCCTAACCCACGATGGGTGGACGCGGCTACGGCCACAACCACACTACCCACCCAAACCGCTCAAATAGCACCGACATAACCTAGCACGAAATGACCGCAATCCCTGCATACACGATCAACTTCGTCAGCACGTCGGGGGCATATTTCTTCAAGCTTCACATCCCGCCCGCAGCTCGCCATCAGCGCCTTGTCCTCCGCGTCCACGTCCTCCGGCGCCAGCTCGTTCTGCACGCCGCATGAGCCGACTTGCGCCCCCCACCTCGACGCCCGGAGGGAGAGGGAGTGTGTGATAAAGGAGAAGGAGGGAGGGAGATGGAAGGGAGAGAACGGGTAGGA